GCAGAGGGAGACAGGATACGAGGTGGACTCCACACCGACAGCAGAGAGTCCGACATGGGGCTTGAACTTCCAAACCGTGAGATCATGATCTGAGTCAAAGACAGACTGAGCCACCAGGTGCGCTCCAAGATAAGAACAGATAAGAATGTTCTTAGAATCCAGAAGAAAAATAACAAAGACCTCAGAAGGGGGCTTGGATTTTCAGGTCATTTTGAGGAAATATTCCAGAAGCAAAACAAATAGAGATGAGAAGAGGGAAAAAGTGAGAAGATTTGAGGATTGATCCTGGAGGCCCAGTATAGGATGAATAATAGAAATGCTAGAAAGAACAGACAAAACCGAAGGAAGGAAATGAGCAAAGAATGTAAGAGCATCTCAGCACTAAGGACATTAACCTCTGGGTTGAAGGGGACCCCAGTTGTCTTGGACAATGACCAAAAACCCCACACCAGAGCTTATTGCCTGGTTTCAGAGCCCTTTGGATAAAGGGAGGCTCTGGAAATGCTCCAGGTTATCCTAAAAACTGGAGAGTTCAAAGAGCCAGCACTGGAAGCTGGAATACCATGGAACAACCAGTGACCTCAAAAGCCTGAGCTGAAATGGTTTTTCAACCAAGAGAGCTACCCCCACCTGATTGTCAAGTGTGAGGGCAGAACAAAGTTGTTTTCAGGTATGCAAGGTCTTAGTCATCTTCCTTGGCTCCGACCCTCCCCCAACCCAACAAAATGAAGACATAAACACAGAACGAGGAAGGTGCTCAAAATACGGGACCCAAAACATGAGCAAGATGGGGAGGCGTCAGGTGGGAGAGGAGAGGCAGGTGCAGCATAGCTGTGCCTCTGGCCCAGGGAGCTGCCAGCATGGGGCAGTGCCGGGGGTGGTGCTAGAGGGATGGTTTCCAGGGAAAAACTGGACTTGCAGGGGTATCTGGCACTTAACACAGGTAGAAAATTCCATAGAGCTGTTGGCAGAATACGGAGAGAGTCAGCAAATGAGAAAAGTGAGTGTCATTAATGTTGCAAAAGGAAAAAAGAAAAAAAAAAAAACTACAAGGAAATAAGTTCAGTATTTGGGCTGGGAAAGAACAATATTTATATAGTGGCATTAATATAAACACAGTGTTGTCAATGAAAGTTTTGAAAGCATAGGGGAAGGGGAGGTAAGTGGATCTAGAATAAGAAGCCAACAAGGAAGAGCAGTATGGATTGAAAGCTGTCTTTTGGGAGTGGGCAGGCTGTGGTGGGGGACAGGGAGTCTTTGAGATAGCCTTTAGGAGCTGACTCTAAGCCGTGGCGTGTCATCCTTTGATAAATTAGTTAGAAACACAGCCTGGCGTCTGGGTAGCTGTCAGTTAAGTGTCTGACTCAGGTCGTGATCTCATGGTTCGTGAGATCGAGCCCTACACCAGGCTCTGTGTTGACAGCATGGAGCCTGCTTAGATTCTATCTCTCTCTCCCTGCCTCTCTCCCACTCAACGCTCTCTCAAAAATAAACATTAGGGCACTGGGTGGCTCAGTAGGTTAAGCGTCTGACTTTGGCTCAGGTCATGATCTCATGGTTGTTGAGTTTGAGCCCCACATCGGGCTTGCTGCTCTCTGTGCAGAGTTCGCTTCAGATCCTCTGCCCATCTGTCTCTGCCCTTCCTGCTGGTGTGTTGTCACTCTTCTCTCAAAAACAAACTTAAAAAAGAGCACCAGGGACCACCTTCCGGGTCCTCAGTGAGCATGTGCCCGTGTGAGAGACCAGAGGAGACCTGCTGGCCTGTGCTTCCAGCCTCACAAAGTTAAGCAGGATTCTAGCATTTACTCTGGTTTTCACATCACCAGGCCCCACACACAAGTGTGATGCTTCATGTGGTCCTCAGCGCTGTGGCTGGGACAGCCTGGCCACCTGGGGGTTTGGCTCCCCATTCCTAGGGCTTGGCCCTGCCTGCCGTACAGCTGCTGCCCACACATTTAGGGAAAGACAAGATCTCTTTATGGGGTTTCTGGCTCCAAAGCTGATCTGGGATGTTAGCGGAGATTAAAGTTCCATAAGTTGGAAGAAGAGAAAGGTCCAATGAGGTGGACAAGTCAGCAGAGTTTTTCTAGAAGCCAGGATATTGGGAGCAGTCAGCCCTTGGGATCTTGAAGATAAAGAGATGACCATCCATTTGCCTGGTCCTGCTCTGTCTGTGTGACTGGAGCGTAGCAGATCCCACTCTGTCCTGACCCGTGACGCTCAGGGGGACTGAACATGGAAGGGCTCTGTAAGCTCGTGAGCCCCACACACTGTCACATCAGGGAGGCCCTGTGAAGGCCTCACTGGTTTTTATTTCCTCCTCGGCCTCTCTAGGCATTGAAGTGGATATTGACGTGGAACATGGAGGGAAGAGAAGCCGCCTCACGCCCGTCTCTCCGGGCAGCTCCAGCACGGAGGAGAAGTGTAGCTCTCAGCCGAGCAGTTGCTCTTCTGACCCCAGCAAACCGGACGGGGACACGGAGGGTGCCGCGCGGTCTCTGGCAGAGCAGATGGACAAGATAGCTCTAGAGCCGGGGCAGCCTGAGGCAAGTCTCCCCCTCCAGAGGCCACAGCCACTGCCTGGTGCTTACATGGCTGGCTGATGGCCTTTCTGTTACAGTTCAGTCTGTGAGCCCTCTGCTAGAACTTTCCTTGCCCTTTGTCCACACCTGCCTCTCCCAGGAACTGGGGCTGCGGGCGGGTCCTTGTGTGCTCATGACTGCTTCTGTTCCAGGAACAGATGGAGTCTGATAACTGTTCAGGAGGGGACGAGGACTGGACTCATTTATCTTCAAAAGAAGTAGACCCATCTACAGGTGAACTCCAGTCTCTACAGATGCCCGAGTCCGAAGGGCCAGCCTCCCTAGACTCTTCTCAGGAAGGGCCCACAGGGCTGAAGGAGGCCGCGGTGTACCCACATCTGCCCCCAGGCAAGTGATTTCAAACAGTTTTATATTTCTATCTTTATCCTTCAGAGCATCTAGTCCCCTCCCTTTAGCTTCCAGACCCAGAGTCATGAAGGCTGTGGGATTTCACGGCTCTGGCACCGCCACGTGCCCCTAGAAGTGGATTCAAAGTCCACCTTCCATTTCCCTGAGGGAAATGTCGATCACAGAGCTCCTACAGGAGCCGGGAAGGCCGACCTGTGGAGGGTGGTGTGCCTGGCGGTAGGGCCACGTGAGGACTGCGCAGCCCCGGGTGCATTGAGTAGGAAAGGCAGCTGACCTATTGCTTTGGTTCGTTATGGTCACGAGACGACAATGTTTGAAATGGTAAAACAGGTGAAAACCCGGCTGTGGGCCAGATTTGTATGTATGTTCTCTGCCTCAGGGCAGGGGGCAGCAACCTATAGCTTTTGGGACAAGAGTGAGTTTTTCATTTTTACCATGGTTGGAAAAAAATCAAGATATGAAAACTAGATGAAATTAAAATGGCAGTGTCCAGAATAGAAGTTTTACTGGAGCACAGCCGTGCCTGTCTGTTGACACAGCGTCTGGCTGTTTTATGCTGTAATGGCAGAACTGAGTAGTTGTGAGAAACCATATAGCCTCACACAACAGCTTAAGATATTTACTCTCTGGCCCTTTACGGGAAAGCTGGTCAACCCTGGCCTGGGAACTTCACTCTGAAGGTCAGAGAGCCCGTGGAAGGGCTGGCTCCACAGGCACGGGGTGCTGGCTGGCTGGACTCGCCCTCATGGCTTTTGTCCTCTCTCTGGCAGAAGCTGACCCCCGGCTGATAGAGTCCCTCTCCCAGATGCTGTCCATGGGGTTCTCAGACGAAGGCGGCTGGCTCACCAGGCTCCTACAGACCAAGAACTATGACATCGGGGCTGCCCTGGACACCATCCAGTATTCAAAGCATCCACTGCCGTTGTGACAGCTTTTGCTCACTTGTTCTGTCCCCTTTCTTGTCTCATAGTTGTTTTGAGCTAGTGTAGAACAGCAGGGCCTCTGTAATGGCCAGTTTCTCTGCATTCTTCCAGAATCTGGGGGGCGGGGATGCATGAAGCCATATAGGGCAGGAGAACAAGTGAGAGGAGGAGACCCCAGCGTGTGTGCCAATGTCTGAGAAACATCTACCAGCTTTCCTTGGGTACATGGAGGCTTCCTGGGGCAGATTGAAAGTCCTTGCTGGGGAGGACACTGAGGCCACATGGCGGCATATTCCTGTTCTCCCCCCACCAGGATTACACCAGCAGTCCAGAATGTCTTGCCTAATGGCCTTCTGCCTTTTTTAATCACTACTCACATGCTGACATGTAGTTGATTTTCTGCTAGAAACCTGATCCGCTCCAAGTTCAGACGAGTCCCGCCAACATCCTGTCTCCTGTCGGGGTGGAGGAGGAGCAAGTGCAGGAGGGGAGACTAGTGCAGCCTGGGACTGGTCAGGAGGGGGGACTGAGGGGACGGAGGCTGGAGCTCACGGATACTGCCTGTCGTTAACCACTGTACTTCTACTTCTCTCCTTTCCCGCGTGTCCTTGCTTTTAAAGAAACCCTTTGTAACCATTCTGTTGCTATGTTGTAAACAATCTGTAAGCACCTTAATCAAAGATGTTGCAACCAGAGATGACCTGATAGTTGTTTGTCATTTTATTTTTGAAAGACCACACCTGTGTGAGCAGGGGGAGGGACAGGAGAGGGGGCAGAGGAGCCAAACTACGCTTCGCACTGACATAACAAGGCCCAACGTGGGGCTTGAACTAAAGAGCCAGAGGAGACGCTCAACCATCTGAGCCACCCAGTGCCCTGTAGTGTGTCTTTCTTGACAGAACTGGGGATCACTTATGGAAACTTTTTAAAAAAAAAAAATCTACACCCAATGTGAAACTTGAACTCATCCTGAGATAAAGTCACACACTCTTCCAACTGAGCCAGCCAGGCACCCCTATTTATGGGAACCATTTAAAAGCTACTTGGGGAGCCCCCTTTCCAGTGGCCAAGAGGTCTAATTTGCTCATACAACAAATATGTCTGTTAGTAAAATTCTAGTTTCAGTTCACAAGTGGTCCTGAAAGTCCTCCCCAGTTTTAAAGAGGTCACACAGTTGCACAAGTGGGGGCTCTTGTGCCCCTGTGGCTAAGGACCCACCCTTTGCCAGAGGATTGGTGTCCCATGGCTGTTTGGTGGTCTTTACGCAGGGCCTCTGGGAGCCGGATGTGAGCGTGTGTGTGAGCCAGAGAAGCTCGGGTGCATCATGGGGCCTGCTGACGTACCTCTCCCTTGGGGTCTGGGCCCTAAGGGTCCCCTGCTCAGTCAGTGCCACCTCGGCTGGCCTAGGGTCTCTATTCAAAGGAACTGGGGGCTCCATGTCCACACATTGGCTGTTTCCAGGCGGCTGAAGGAATCGTTCCCACTTGGAAGGCATGGTCCTGACATGGTGGGCAGGTTGTGGAGGATCCCCCTGAGGAACAAAAAGCTCCCTGGTGCCCCGGTCCTTGTGACTGCTTTTGTCTTTGACCTTCCCCATCAAGCCAGTGTGGTCCTGCAACGGAAAGGAGAGAAGATGATCAGGTCCGCCATTCAGAACAAGTGCCAGTGGCCCAGCAGGACCCAGGGATGGGAGAGAAGGGTCCCTGTGCCTGCACTGCTGTGTCCTCTGCCTCAGGGTTCTCCCACTTTTCACTCTGTTCTGCCTACTTGCTAGTTCTTGTGCTGGCAGGCTAGGGACCTGCTTTCATTCTGTGGTTTGGCAAAGCAGGGCAAATAAATGCCCTCACCTCAAATCCTCTGCCAAATTCTATGACCAGGCTTTCCAGAAAAGAGTATTCCCATGGAAACTTAGAATCAGGTGAGAGGGTGCCTGAGAGGAGTGGTCAGCAGGAAAGGCCCATGAGACCATCTAGAAAGGGGGGAAGAGCTGTCCTGTCAGCTCACTGTCAAACAGATGGGAAGGTCTCTCTGGAACCGCGGGGGAAGGTTTGAAGCCGGTGGGGGGGGGGTGGGGTGGGGAGTGGCTGCACAGAAGACCCCAGGAGGTGAGCACAGCATGGGGCCTGGCCTCTCTTCCCTCAGGAGCCAAGTGCGCACTGGAACCAGGGTTTGACGGCCTATAAAGGCATCTGAGAGTAGGAACAGGCAGGACCCTGCATCACTACCCGAGGGCAGTGTGGAAGAGGCTTGTGGTCGGTTGTAACAGCCGAAGATCACCATCAGCCCTGCCCCTGACTTGCTGGGACCACGTTATTGTGCAGCCTTAGTTCCTCACCTGCAAAACCAAACATGCCTGTGTGGGCATCCCACGTGACAATGTAGTTAAAATGTTTGAGGGACCAGCAGATCAATAACTGTCATTATTCTAGGACTTGGAGATTCAGGGCCACACAGCTAGTCAGTGGCCACGTCAAAGTTTGACCTTTGCCCTACTGTGTGAGGCTGGCCAGGCTGACCTTGGCCTATGTTGCGGGGATGCAGTGACCGAGGCCCAGCAGAGACTTCTGCCTTAGTGCCTGTGGCTCCGGTGACAGAAGAAAGCAAAGTCTGAGTGCAGTGGGGTTGGGAAGATTTAAAACACCAAGAACGAGCAGAAGTATGGGGAGGGTGGTGGGGCTGGGTAGGAGGATTTTAAGCTTACCTCGTACCACGGACATACGGGGGCAACAACTACATGTATCCTAACTAACTCAAAATGATGTGAAGCATGGCAGGACAGACTTTGCACAGCTAGTTGTAACAAGATAATATTGGGAAGGGTAGGAGGGGCAGAGATGAGTGCAGTCAAGGACCAAACCCTTGGAGTGACTGGCCACAAATGGGAGGGGTCAGACCCCACACGAGGCACCCCTGGCCTCAGGGACCTGCACTGGGAAGACCAGTCCCTATATAACATCTGGCTTTGTAAATCTGGAGCTTAACACTAAGAGAGCTGGAGGGTGATAGGAAACCAAGTCCCTGTCCGTAAAGAGCCAACACGATAAATAACTGTGCCCAACACAGCACAGAAACAGTAGTTTGAAAAGCACCTGAGTATATATGTGAAGATCTTAGTTAACTAATTTTAGGATATATGCTGGAGGGGCAGGGATCTGTAGGAGCTCTCTTCTGGAACAAAAGTGCTAGTAGGCACCATTTCACTTGCCCTCCCCCAGCCAGGATAACGGGATGCGTGTGGGAGCCAGTTCTGTCTCCACACACTGTGCTAGCACCGTGTGCTCTGCTCCCAGCCGTCCCTGGTAGTCTTGAATTCTGGCAAACATTTAAAGAGTTAATACCTATTCTCTTCACACTATTCCAAAAAATAGAAGAGGAAAGAAAACTTGTACATTCATTATATGAGCATTGTATCAGCATTACCCTGATACCAAAACCAGACAAAGGCACTGCAAGAAAAGAAAATTATGGACCAAAATCCCTGATGAATACAGATGCAAAAATCAAAAAAATCTTAGCAAGCCAATTTCAGCACTATGTTAAAAGGATCATCATTCGCCATGATCAAGTAGGATTTATTCCAGGTTTATTCCAGGGTGATTCAATGTTCGCATATTAGTTAATGTGATACATGGTATCAACAAGAGAAGGATAACAACCAATTGTTCATCCCAATAAGATGCAGGAAAAGCATCTGACAGGGTACAATATCCATTCATGATAAAAACTCTCAATAAAACGGGTTTAGAGGAAACACACTTCAACATAATAAAGGCCATATATGTCAAGCCCACAGTTAATACCATACTAAATGGTGCAAAAGTGAAAGCTTTTCCTCTAAGATCTCAGGAACAAGACAAGGATATCCACGTTCACTACTACTTTCATTCAGCAGAGTACTGGAAGTCCTACCATACCAATCAGACAAGAAAAAGAAATAAAAGGCATCCAAACTGGTAAGGAAGAAGTAAAACTCACTATTTGCAGATGACATGATACTCCATATAGAACACTCTAAAGACTCCACCTAGGAACTATCAGAATAAATGAATTCAGTGAAGTTGCAGAAATCTCTTGTGTTTGTATACATTAATAACAAAAGAGAAAGAGAAATTCTATACACTAATATACACTAATAAGAGAATTCTATACGCTAATAACAGAGAAATTAAGAAAACAACCCCATTTATGACTGTATCAAAAAGAATAAAATACCTCGGAATAAATTTAACCAAAGAGGTAGAAGACCTATATTCTGAAAACTGTACGACACTGATGAAAGCAACTGAAGATGACACAAACAAATGGAAAGATAAACCACGCTCATGGATTAGAAGGATTAATACTGTCCCATACTACCCTATGCAATCTATGAAATTCAATGCAATCCACATGAAAATACTATTTTTCACAGAACTAGAACAAACAATCCTTAAATGTGTATGGAATCCAAAAGACCCTGAGTAGCAAAAGCAAACTTGAGAAAGAAAAACAAAGCTGGAGGTGTAACAATCACAGATTTCAAAATATACTACAAAGGTATAGCAATCAAAACTTATTGGCATAAAAAATGGACACACAGATCAGTGGAACAGAATAGAAAATCCAGAAATAAACCCACGATTATATGGTCAGTTAATCAAGGACAAAGAAGGGAAGAATGTACAGTGGGGGAAAAGACAGCCTCTTCAATGAAAGGTGGTGGGAAAACTAGACCATTTTTTTTACACTGTACAAAAAAATAAACTCAAAATGGATTAAATATCTTCTAGGCACACCTGGGTGGCTCAGTCGGTTAAGTGTCCAACTCTTAATTTCGGCTCAAGTCACGATCTCACGGTTCATGAGTTTGAGCCCCGCATCGGACTCTGTGCTGACAGCACGGGGCCTACTTGGGATTCTCTCTTTCCCTCTTTGCCCCTGCCCCACTCACATACTCATGCACAAGCTCTCTCTCTCTCTCAAAATAAATAAACTTAAAAAAAAAAAACTTTCAAAAAAAAAAAGGGGGTTAAAGACCTAAATGTGAGATCTGAAACCATAAAACTCTTAAAAGACAATATATACAATAAGCTCTTGAACAATGGCCTTAGCAACATATTTATGGCTATGACTCCTCAGGCAAGGGAAACAAAAGCAAAAATAAAATACTGGGAGCACATAAAAACAAAAAGCTTTTGCATAGTGAAGAAAGCCATTAACAAACTGAAAAGGTAATGTGTACTGAATGGAAGACGATATTTGCAAATAACATATCTGAAAAGGGGTTAATATCCTTAAAATATAAAGAACTTATAATACAACTCAACACCAAAAACCCAAATAGTCCAATTAAAAAATGGGCAAAGGGCCCAAATAGACACTTTTCCAAAGAAGACATACAGATGGCCAACAGACACATGAAAAGATGCTCAACATTGCTAATTATCAGGGAAATGCAAATCAAAACCACAATGAAATATTATCTCACACCTGTCAGAATGGGTATTATCAAAAAGACAAGAAATAACAAGTATTGGGGAAGACATGGATAAAAGGGAACCCTAGTGCACTGTTGGTGGGAATATAAACTGGTGTAACCACAGTGGAAAGCTATATGGAATTTCCTCAAAAAATTAAAAATAGAAATACCATATGATCCAGTAATTTCATTACTGGGTATTTACCCAAAGAAAGCAAAAACACTAATTCAAAAAGATATATGCGCCCTTATGTTTACTGCAACATTATTTATAACAGCCAAGATATGGAAACAGCCCAAGTGCCCATTGATGATAGATGAGTAGATAAAGATGTGGTATATATCTATATAATGGAATATTACTCAGCCATAAAAACGAATTCATAAATACAGAGAACTGGTGGTCGCCCAAGCAGAAGGGGATGAGGAGATGGGCAAAATAAATGAAGGGGATGAAAAGATACAAACTTCCAATGATAAAATAAGTAAGTCATAGAGATGAAAAACAGCATAGGAAATATCATACTGTAATAATGTATGGTGACAATGACTATATTTATCATGGTGAGCACTGATTCATGTATTGAACTGCTAAATCACTATGTTGTACATCAATATAACTGTATGTCAACTATACTCCAATAATTAAAACGAACAAGAGCAGAACCTAGGGGAAGACAGCGTCTCAGTGCAAAAGAACACACTTGGGTAACTGAAGGTGAGGATGGGAACAATTCCTTAGAAATCCAGGGCAGATCCCATGTTGGCTAGTCTGACAAAGACCCTCCACTGCATGTAGAAGGAAGAGAAAATTCCTGACTCAGAAAAGCCCTAGTGGCTAACCTTCGTTGATCAAGCTGTCCTTTTGACTAGGAGCTCACATCACTGAGGGATTGAATACGGCAGGGAAATGGTACAAGCCAGAGAAAGGAGTTGGCTTAAGTCAAAGCAGACAAAGCACTTGGGTGTTAAAAAATTCTATGTGTGGTTCGGGCGCCTGGATACCTCAAGGGTAAGCATCCAACTTCAGGTCAGGTCATGATCTCACAGTTTGTGAGTTCAAGCCCCTCGTTGGGCTCTGTGCTGACAGCTCAAACCCTGGAGCCTGCTTCGAATTGTGTCTCCCTCTCTCTCAAAATTGAATAAACATTAAAAAAAAAAAATTCTATAGTGTGTTCAGTAGTTACTAGGACCAGAAGAGAAACACTGTCCTCATTCACTGACCTTCTGAGGCTCCAAGGGAATCTCAGAGTCACTCGGGTTCCAGACATCAGGGCTGTGTGGAGGACGGTCTGTGCTCTGGATCCATTTCCTGGTGGAGATAAAGTTCTGTCAAGAATCTAGTCCTATCACCTCACAGGGTCCTGATCCTGACTTGGTGGTCACCAGGTGTGACCTCTAGCACAGGTAATTGTCCTCCCATACAGCTTCCAAGGTGGCTTCTCTGCTTCTCCTCCACTGCCAATAACAGGCTGCCCAACAACATGCAAGGCCGTCCATTTCTGCTCCATAGCTCGTAGTTGCTAGAAAGTTCTTATTTTGAATTGGAATCTACCTTCCAATAAATCACTTGCCCTATGGGAGCCACCGTGGATCTAGATAAGGCAGTGTCTCAGAAGAATCGCAGAAACACAGAGTATGCCTATAGGAGAAGACACCTGTAAGAGGTCAGGTCTTTCCTGCTGTAGGTTATAAGCTCCCAGGCCTGTAAGCCACTCTGGCCACACTTCACTTTGTCAATTCTTCTGGGGATCAGTGCAGTCACAATTAAGTGAGCACCATAAAAGGTGCTCATACTGGCACCCCGCACCTCTCACCTCTGTGCGGCAGCATCTGGCACCTGGTGAGGCCAAGGAGGGCCTGGTGAAGCTAGCTGCTGGCCATCGCCACTCAGACTTCCCCCATGCTGCTGGCTGCTAGAGGTTGCCCATCGCTCCCCGACATCTGTGAGTCACTGTGGGTATGGGGCGATGGCTGGATTAGTGACTAGCTTGGCACCTTTTTCTAGGCAGGCCTGTGTTGAAGGGAGGGTCCGTCTTCTCTGTCCTGGACAAGGGCTGTGTCTTGAAACACACTCCTCCTCCTTCCATCCCCTGTTCTTCTGCGTCTCTTTCCAGATACTTCAGCCAGCGGTTCTCTGAGGACTGAGGTTTTTCCTACAGGATTGGGAAGTAAGTTTATTCTCAGGACCCACATCTCCCTTGTCACCAGGAAAGGTATTTCGCTGGAAGGTAATGGGGAGATGGGTGTCCTGAGGCACCACTGGGGACTGTGCACACTGGCACAGGCCAGGGGAAAGATACAGGGCACAGCTCATCAAGGAAATTTATAAATGTCCATGCTCCCTGACCTAGGGGTTCCAAATGAAGACAAAGGCACAAAGATGCTCATCAAAGTGATATGAACCACAGCAAATATGTATCATAGCAAAAATCTGGAAATAATCTACATGCCCGGTCATCATGGAACAAACACTGGTTACATCCACTATATTCCGTAAATACTGGACATCACTGAAAACTCTACTGCGACACAAGAACAACATAAGTGAAGACTCCAGGGTGCAAACTAGCATTTCTTGTAATAACAATGATGTAAAATTAAGTCCCTAAGTGGACAGAATTGGAAGTATAGAACCAAGTATGTGAGAGCTTCTGGGTTAAGGTGATGTACTTAGGAGCAGGGCTCTTGTTTATAATAAAAACAGGAAAAGCGAGCGACATTGCCAAGCAACTGACATTGCCAACGTGATTCTGTGAGTGGAGGCAGGCTCTGTCCTCAGGTGGGCAGGGAGCCCCTGGCAGCTGTTCCCACTAACCCTGTCCCCAGCAGGACACAGCACTGGGTACCCACAGCACCTTGGATGTACCAATGGCATCACTTCCTCATTCACTCAAGCTCTTACACACACTGCCCAGCCAACACTGTCTGAGCACCTACTTTCCTAGGCACTGGGACAGAAAGCTGGATGTGAGCCCTGCTGGGAGGCCCAGTCTGGAGAAAGGAAATGTGAAAGCCAGGTACTGTACAATAGCACCTTTTCCCTGTCAGAGGTGTGCCCAGAGCACTGCAGGACAAGGGGAGAAACACGGGGAGGTAAAGTTCAAGCTAATTTCAGAGGAGTTCTCCCGGCCAAAGACAAGGCCCCGTTCAGAGTACCGTAATTACTGGTACACACATTACTGGTACAAAAGGGATAGGTTTACTCTTTGTTGTGTTTCCAGTAGCTTTAAGCCAAGTGCCCGTTGTTGATAGCACTGTTGAACAAAAGATCAACAGATGAATAAATGGAACCCCCTCTGTGACACAGAGACAGAGCTGCTGGCTTACCTGTGAACTCACATGCTCAGCCTGCTGAGGCTCTGCATTGTCCTCTTCGTCAATATTTACAGGTTCTTCCAGAGACCTTAATGAAAGATTGTACATGTATCCTTAGTAAAATGACCAGGAAGATGAAGGGCAAGGAGAGGAGAACAGCAGGACATAAATACTTGACAACAGCCATCAAAGGCTGTTCTAGGGGATCTTAGGATCTTATTTCTGTTGTTCTGATCTAGTTCAGGAGGCCTGGGCAGAGGCACCAACAACAGGAAAGGTGACACAGGGCAGACTCTAAAGCTGGAGAGACCAGAGTTTGCATCCTGGCTTTGCCAATGACTGGCGGTCATTGTCACAGTGTGACTTTGGGTTCATCATTTTACCCCGCTTCCCTCATCCACAAAAGACAATACTGCATGGGTGACTGTGAAGACAAACGTGACAAAGTGTGTGCACATGCCTGGCTGAGGGCCTGGAACACGGAGAGTAATGTCAGCTGAACTCCTGTAGCACAGAGTCCCTCCCATCAGCAATGGAGAGGTCTCTACTGCATAGGGTTATATAAGTCTTTCTAGTCATACCTCAACACTTACAAGACAGGAGAGGCACTGTGTGTGTCACAGGGAGGGAACAGCACAGGGAAGAGGATCAGGGCTCTTCCACCACATAAAGAAGAGTGGGGAGCCAGAGCCTCTGTGGTCTCTAATGGGACTGAGGGGCGGGTAAATACTTACCATACAAGGGCTGGAGGTTAGCACAAGGCCAGCCCCACCCACATCACACAGGGTGGTTACATCACACAATCAGGAGGGCACTCTCCCTGGTGAGCTATGCGAACTGCCAACTCTGCCAAATGTGGGCGTCTGTACTTGATTCTCTTCATCTGTACGCAGAAGCCAATAATCCTCACAGGGTGATTATGATGAGGAAATTAGATCATGCATGTGAAACACCTACCCTGCCACATGGCTGATAATCCAGTGTTCACCAGAGCAGTGGCCTAGCAGCCACTGGCTAGAAGTCTGCTCACCTTTCTGATTCAGGAACTCAACTCCATCAATAAAGGACATCTCTCAACAGTCTGAGGATACCAGTCTGTGTTCTTGTTTCTGACGTTACCACTGACAAGTCGGGTGTCTGATGTTCCTTTGTAGGAGATCTCTCTTCTCTCCACCTACTCTTCAGCTCTCCCCATTGTCTTCCGTGTTCCCTAATTTCATTATGTTGTTGTCATCATCTAAGGGTCATTTAATTTTTTTTAACCTTAAAAATTAACTTGAGGTATAACATACACTAAAACTCAAGTGTATAGATGAGCTTTGATAAATTAGATCTTTGAAACTATCACCCCAATCAAGATACAGCAAAAACATTTTTCATTGAGATATAATGGACAAGATATGGAAAATTCTCATCACCCCCAAAAGTTCTCATACCTGTCTTGACAGGCAATTCTCTCCCCTAGAAAACCACACTGATCCATTCAGCAGGTAGTCTTTTGTGTCGGCTTCTCTCACTTAGCAATGTTTTTGAGATTTGCCCATGTTGTTTCTGTTGTAGCATGCCACTGCATGAACATACCTCAGTGTGTTTATCCATTAACCTTCTGTATGTCCACATACAGATATTGCACTCAGTCACTGCAGCATCATAGTAGACCTTGAAATTAGGCAGTAGAAATCCTCCAGCTTTGTTCTTATCAGAATTGTTTTGGTAATTCTAGGTACTTGCATTTCTATATAAATTTTAGGATTAGTTTGCCAATTTTTACCAAACAAACAAACAAACAAACAAACAAAAAACTTCACTGGAATTTTGATTTGGATTAGGTGGTCTCTACCAACCAATTTAGGATAAACTGAAATCTTCATGATATTGAATTTTCCAATCCATGAACATGAACTCTTCATTAACTTAGACCTTTTAATTTCCTTAGCAATGTTTTATGGTTTATACTGAACAGATCTGACACATTTTTGTTATATTTATCCCTAAGTATCTAATTTTTGATGCTGTTCTAAATGGTATTTGATTTAAAAAATCATTTTCCAATTGTTCATAGCATTTATATAGAAATAATTTAATTTTGTACGTTGACTTTGTATCCTTGTGATCTTGCTAAAATATTAGCTCTAGTAGCATTTGTGTAGTTTCATCAGGATTTCCTACATACATAATCATGGTGTTTGCAAATAAAATAATGACTTGTTCCAGTTTGAGATTTATTGTTTCCTAAATCTAAGAATATAAGCCTTTGATTCTAGAAAATGCTCTAGTCTTTTCTCTTCAAATATTGCCTTTACCCTGCTTTCTTAACTCCCTCTTGCCGAACTCTTCCCTTAGTTTCCATGTTTCTCAACTCACATTTTCCACCTTTTTATCTTTCTGTGTTGCACTGTGAATACTTTCTTCAGATTTATCTTCCATTTCACTGATTCTCTCTTCAGCTACATTTAATGCTCAATCTGTCCACTGAATTTTTAATTTCAATGATTATACTTTTAATTTCTACAAACTCTTTCTGGTTCTTTTTCAAATGTACTTGGTCATTTTCTAAAGTCATTTGCCTTTTTTTTTTGTAATCTCCAACGTGGGGCTCCAATTCATGACCCCGAGGTCAAGAGTCACATGCTCTACCACCAACTGAACCAGCCAGGTGCCTTGAAGTCCCTTGCTTCTTACATTATCAACCTTCCCTTTTATTTCATTAACTATATTAAACATTCAGGTCTAGGCTGAAGATGTATGCTCCAGAGGAGCTATATTTACCTCTGCTTCCTTGGACAATTCAAAAATAAATTCTCCGCTTGAGGCTTTTCACACAGTGCATGTAGAAGACTGAAAAGCCATGTGATAGATTTCTTGTGTTTATTATACCCTGGAGAGAGATTTCCTCTCTTTGGCCAGCACCAAGGTCAACACAGGCAGGCTGCAAAGAGGGTGCATTTCTAGTTCAATTAATTCATGGAGGGTGTAGTCTTTTGGGGACTCAGCCTTTTTTTTTTTTTAATTTATTTATTTATTTTGAGAGAGAGAATGTACAAGCGGGGGAGGGGCAGAGAAAGTGAGGGAGAGAGAGAATCCCTAACAGGTTTCACACTGTCAGCACAGAATTTGATGTGGGGCTCAATCCCATGAACCAGGAGATCATAACCTGAGCCCAAATCAAGAGTCGGATGCTTAACTGACTGAGCCACCCAGGCGCCCCGGGGACTCGGCTTTATGTCGTGGTCTCCTACTGACCTTCCCATGCTGAACAGGCCTTGTCTTTGTCTCTTGCACCCCTCCCAATCACCTAAATGAAAGTTCCAGAACACTAGGCTTCAATTGCCTCAACAGCCCAGGTACTTACTCTCTGAATTTTGGCTTTTGCTTCATTTTTGACTTCTGATATTTCATTTACTTCCATCATCTCATCAGTGTACTTAAAATATCATAGCTGACATATTTTAGTTATTTTCAGTTGGAAGAGTGTTAGGATAACTAATCACCATATAGAAAAAGCTTTCTCCATATAAAACTTCCACTAATCACTCAAGATGAACACAGGACAAGATAACTGTCCCCTTTTCAAACAACTGTACCTGAGTGACATCTCTGAAATCTGTCCCTGCAACAGATTTAATTTTTGGACATGGCGTCTACAGTCAGCACCAGAACCCTCGCCGTAAGTCTGAAAAACAAAAAAATATTAAGTTTAAAAAGTGCTGATAGGATGCGGAGAAACAGATCCATTAGTGATGTACCTCAGGGAGAAGAAAGCTGTACTTTATAAGGCCCAAATGTACCATGCAGAAATTCTAATGACTGACCACTTTTTCTGGAATAATTGATTTGCAAACTAACAGTCTCAGGAACTAACAGTTCTGGTCTGACTGTCCTTCTAGCACTTGGAACTCTACACATCAAAGACTAACTCAGCCCCAGGCCCCACACAAAATGGTTAATAAACATGAATAAGAAATTGAAGATATGTAACGCCAACCACCAGTAAACATAAAATATGCTACTTCACTGATAATCTAAGGACCATAAAATAAGATGAAATACTTTTTTTTCACTTAGCAGTCACTCATTTGTTTAACAATATTTACTGAACACCTATTATGTGCCAGTCCCCTGGAGTAGTTAAGGACAATACAGTACAGAAGTGGACAAAAATCAGTCATCATGGAGCATACATTCTAGTGTGAGGAGACTGCATAAGTCAACTATGTGGTCATCAGATGACGAGAAGTACCACCAAGGAAAATAAGGTGATGAAAGGGGATGGGGCAGTGTGGGGGAAAGAGTAGACTATTTTATACAGGGCATTCAGGGAATAGATAACTAAGGTGACATTTGGGCACAAAATAGGAAGATATGAGGCATAAGTCACATAGATAGCTGGGGGAAAGCATTCAGCAGAAGCAATGAAATACACTTGAGGGCAAAGACCCTAAGCCTGTGAAGGAACAGTAAGGAGGGCACATGGCTAGAGCTGAGTGGTCCGGGGGAAAATGGTAGGAGATGAGGTCTGAGTGTATTATTCCCTACTACAGGCAAAGTCAGCCTCATGGGAACGAGACCTGTTCTGCAGCTGGCATCTTGAAAACATTAAAAAAAAATTTTTATTTGAAAATGTTAATAACTTTATCTTTGGAAGGCAGCTATACTCACCACTATACCACCAATGCTCAATAGCCTTATCTTTGAATACGTGTGATAAGATAATGGAGCACGTCCATAAGCAGAGGAGATATACACACTACACAAGTCCATTGTTCCTTGCCACACCATTTGCATACAGCATGCTCAATGATCCAGGAGCACAGAATTAAAGTGGACTCACAATACATGGGAGTGTTCACTGAGACTCCGAGTGTAGACGCTCAGTGTTTGCTGTCTATGCCTGAGTATGTGGGGAGCACCCACTGCCTGAGAGGCCAGGCTTTCCACTGGAACAAGAACTTGCTTCAGATTCAGAAGGAAGGCAAGGATGTTTTTTTTTTTTGTTTTTTTTTTTGTTTTTTTTTTTTTAATTTTTTTTTCAACGTTTATTTATTTTTTTGGGCCAGAGAGAGACAGAGCATGAACGGGGGAGGGGCAGAGAGAGAGGGAGACACAGAATCGGAAACAGGCTCCAGGCTCTGAGCCATCAGCCCAGAGCCTGACGCGGGGCTTGAACTCACGGACCGCGAGATCGTGACCTGGCTGAAGTCGGACGCTTAACCGACTGCGCCACCCAGGCGCCCCAAGGATGTTTTAAAAATACATGAATAATCAAAGAACCCTATCATATCTTTTTATTCCTGTTACTTGCCTGGAACAGCTGATCACTTATGCTGAAAATCATGACACGGAAGGAAAGGGCAAGGCAGGGAGACCCTTGTTCCTTTTCCTCTCAGTCCTTCCTTATGCTAATCAGTGAGCTGATGGGGGAGAGTGTGGGGAGAATGTATCAATGAGTATAAAGAGCAGAGTTAGTTTTGTGCAGCATGTCCACTGTTCTGGTAAGAATGAAATACATAGGCATGAATGAGCTCCAAAATACAAATTGGGCAATTCTGAGGATTCTGCATATATATAGTAAATGTTCTTATATTATTCCACATATAAACACTTATTATTTTTTTTAAGTAGGCTTCATGACCAGCACGGAGCCCACTGTGGGGCCTGAACTCATGAGACCCTGAGATCAAGATGTGAGCTGAGATCAAGGGTCAGATGCTTAAACCAATTGAGCCATCCAGGTACCCCTAGACTAAACGCTCTTTGCATTTTAAACTGGTGCTGCATAAAAATAAAAAAAATAAAATAATAATAATAAAATAATTTTAAAATGTTAGTTTTTCTTTACTTAGGAAGACATTCAACAGTAAATAAAAGACATTATAAAAAATCAAGAGAGACCAGGACGGAAAGGAAAAGCTTAATATTTTAGTATTTTTAACAGCTTTTTTTTTTTGCTTTTGAACAAGGGGCCCCACAATTTCGTTTTGTACCAGGCACACTTGGCCCTGCCTGTAGGACCATGGGTTTTGCTCTAACTTGGAAGGCTGGGGTGAGTGACCTCGCCTAGCACATGTTTTAGCAGGACCTTCAGGTATGGTGCTGAGGGCAGACTGTATGGCAGACACAGGTGGGCTAGCAGGAGGTTGCTGCAAACACTGATGTGGCTCAGACCACTGTAGTAACAAATGGTCATTCTGGGTACATCCTGAAAGTAGAGATGACAAAATCTATTGATGGACTGGATGAAGAGTGTTTAAGGAAAAAAAAAAAAAAAAAAGTCAGAGAGGACTTCCACGTTTTTGGCCCAAACAACTAACAAGGGACTTAGCCCGTAAGAGACAGGGTGGACTGTGGGAGAGCAGGTGGGTGGGGTAAGGTGAGGCCTTCTGTTTGGAAAGGTGGGTTTGGGACACCCATTAGAGAGCTGAATGGATGGTGCAGGGGCAGGCCTGGGGCTTGAGATAGACATTCCAGAACTGTCAGGTGATCTCATCTCAGACCACCAAAGGAGTGCCACTAGAGAAGAGGCCAACAAACTGAGCACCACAGCATTCTCACATTTAGAAGTTGGGAAGATTAGAAAAAAACTAGCAAAGAGGACAGAAACACAGCCAGAAAGACAGCGGGAAAGCCAGGAGTGGGATGACTGGAAGTCCAGGTGAAGACAATGTTTCAGTGACAAACTGTGACAGACACTACCAATAGGTCAAGTCACCGGAGGAGTGAGAACTCACAACTGTTTTTAGCAAATGGAGATCCCTGATGACTTTGACATGAGCAATTTTACTGGACTGTGGGGAATAAAAGCCCAGCTGGGGCAAGTTCAAGCAAGAATGGGAGAGGAACTGCAGAATGGAATGGCAAAGCTTTAAAAGATGTTAAGTGGCAGGGAGGACGCTCGCCAGCATGGCAGGGACCACTGGCTGAATACTGAAATTAATTCTCCTCCTATCTGGCCACAGACTGGGCTACACTTTCTAGTCTTCCTTGCAGTCAGGTGTGGCCTTGAGACTAGGTTGTTTCTAGTGGGATGTGAGCCACTTCCGGGCCTGGCCCCTCAAAGCCTCCTGTGTAGCTCCTTCGTGCTCTTGCCCTTCAGTGGCTCCAGGCAGCAGGAGACAGGCCTCTGGGAGTGACAGAACCTCAAGATAGAAGGAGCCTGGGTCCCTGCATGACCTCACCAAGGACGGCTGCCCTGCTGATCTCAATTCCTCTCAGGACTGTTACAAGAACAAGAGAAATAACTTCTTCTTTTTTTAAAGTTTATTTTCCGTAATCTCTACATACAACATGGGGCTCAAATTCATGACCCTGAGTTCAAGAGTTGCACACTCTTTTGACTAAGCCAGCCAGGCACCCCATCGAGAGAAACAACTTCTACTGTGTTAGGCCACCACAATTTTGTTGTCCTGTCACGGTGGCCTAGTCTACCATAAGCCATATACCACTGCACATGCATTGAGGTGCTGGGAAGAAGGTAGAGCCTCCTCAAGGAGAACTTAGAAGTATGTGCTGACATCAAAAACAAGCAGCAGTCACTAGCTCATGAGCCAGCCCCTTGCCTTCTGAGACTCAATCTTGGAGTGCGCCTCAGCAGCCGTACTGCTGACCAATGACCTGATCAGCCCCACTTCTACCATCCCAGCTGGCTGGACCAAAAGTGGACATCTGGGTCAAATGGGCCAATCATATCACTTCTGCCAGTTTATTAATTAGGACTCAGCTATTCTAGTTGGCTTGAAGTGAGAGTCCATGGTCTGTGGGTGGAGTGTGTTACTGTGAACTATCTGGGGAGATAGTAAGGGACGGAGAGGAGGCAGGGAGAGGGGAAGGAGGATGTGGGGACAATCAGGTATGGGGAGAAGGGGAGGAAAAGATGCCTACATTGCTGGCAGCTTTTCAATTCTTGGGGCTGGTTCTTCAAGGGGTCAGGGGTGAAACCCCTCCCCTGAATTCCCCATGATACCCCATTATTTTGCCAGGACATTTTTTTTCTATTTTGCTGAGGCCATTCTGAAATATTCTATTATTTGTAACTAAAAGAGCCTTGGTCAAAAGATATCCTTTGAAACTGCAATTTAAACTTCTAGGAATTTGTCCTAAGGAAGTAATTAGTCTAGTGAAGGAGGAGGTTCTTTCTAAGAAGCTTCACTGAAGCATCGTTCTTACCAATGAAGATGAAGATCAACCTAAATGCCAAACAACATGGGATTGGTCACTTACCAACTCAACAAGTATTTATCGAGCGACCACTTACTCTGTGCCAGGTACTGTGCTACGTGCAGAAGGTGTATCAGTATAAAACAGGCAAAGCTTCTGCTCTCAGGGAACTTACAGGAGATAAACAATACTCACATAAACACACTCGAATATAATATCTGATCAGGATAGTGAGAAGAGCTAGGCAAAGTTCCAACAATGAGCACAAAGGCCTTAAGAGTGCAGCATGTCTGGATTGTTTCAACGTCATAAAGAAAAGGCCTTATGGCTGAAGGAGAACAAGGAGCTGAGGGTGGAGAGGTGGCATCAAGGGCCAGAGAAGGTATACAGGGGCTCAAAGAGGCAAAAGGTGCAGGACACTGTGTGGTATCAAAGAGATGAGATGGAGGGGTACCTGGGTGGTTCAGTTGGTTAAGCATCCGATTCTTGATTTCTGCTCAGGTCATGATCTCACAGTTGAGACTGAGCCCTGTGTCGGGCTCTACACTGACTGTATGAAGCCTTCTTGGGATTCTCTCTCTGCCCCTCCCTTGCTTGTGCTCATGCTCTTGCTCTCTCTCATGTGTGCTTCCCCCCTCAAACATACACATTAAAAAAAGCAAAAAAGGATGAGGTGGAGAAATAGGTATCCACTTGAAGAGAACGGCAATGGCCTAAATAAGCTTTTACTCCGAGCTTTCATTCTCTCTGTTTCGGTCTCCTGATGGCCTCCCCTTCCTGAGCCCACCCATGCCCACACCCTGCATGCACCAACATGCACCCGACCGGTTGTGGGTCTGACTGCCTGGTCATCTTCTTACAGGCTCCTGCATTTTCCCTGCATTGTGCTCAATCTAGTTTCAAATGGCCAGTGTGTGTGCATCGGTTTCTCTTCCTCTTCCACATGAGCAGATCTGTGAGGGCAAGAAGGACAAAGCTTTTTGCCTTCCCTTGTTTCTCCTGTGCCTGCAGGCAGAAAGTACTCAATAAATACTTGCTGACCAAATAAACAAATGAAGGTAACTTTCCATGCACTGCTCCATCCATTTCACTTCCTGAAGGAACAGGAATTTAGGGAGCAGAGGCTCTGCATCTAGTGAACTTGGTCCCAATACTGGGATGCTGGGACCCCATGAGAAACACACTACTGCAGGGCTAGGCCCACCGGCTTTCTGGCCTGGGTATTAGATACCGTTTCTCAGGACTCACCCGCAAAAATGACTGCTTCTTTCCACAAGCTTTGCATGTCCACTTGAGACTCTTCTTTTCCTACAATGAATTTCAGAAATTTGGCTTAGATAATTATTTAAAACAGGTGGAACTGAATCAAAAATAATGATATAAAAAGGCCAGTGGAAAAGAGTAAAAGTGTAAAAACAAACCAACAACATATATGTATAAAAAGCTAGTATATTGTAAAGGTGGCATTTTAGGAGTGAGGAAAAAACAGACTATTTAATAAGTGGTGCTGGGAAAACTGGCTATCCATATCAAACAGTCTAGTTAGATCTCTATTACCTGTGGTTCTCAAAAATAATTCCACATTTAATTCCAATTCTTGATAAATCTAACTAGATGGGGTCTCTCTTAACAGGATAAAATACCTTACATTCAACTCTAAAACTGGAGAATCACTACCAGCTCTCCCATGAAAGTCAAGAACAAGCCAAGAATCCCCACTATTTACCATTGTTATTTTCTACAAATGGAATTGGAAAAGAAAAATAAAGAGGTACGAAAACTGGAAATGAGGAAAACATTATCATTATGTATAGATTTTATTTTATTTTTTTTACCTGAAAACTCAAAACCAAATGAAAAACCACTAAAAACAATCTAAGATGGTGGGGATGAATACAAAGTTAATATAGCTTCAAAAGTTAATAGAGTCTTTATATAAGCAATTATCTAGTTAGAAAAGGTAACGGAACAGTCCATTTATAACAACAACAAAGAAAATATTATCAAAAGGCACCAAAGTTGTTTGAAAAAATGGAACGTAGTAGTGTGCTTAACATAAAAAACATGCCTGGGGGTGCCTGGGTGGCTCAGTCGATTAAGCCTCCAACTTCCGCTCAGGTCATGATCTCACGGTCTGTGAGTTTTGAGCCCCATGTCCGGCTCTGTGCTGACAGCTGAGCCTGGAGCCTGCTTCATACTGTGTCTCCTTCTCTCTCTGACCCTCCCCAGTTCATGCTTTGTGTCTGTCTCAAAAATAAATAAACATTAAAAAAAATTTAAAAAAAAACATGCCTGGGTTGATTTATCAAAATTAATAGATGTATGATCCTAACACAAAAACCATTGGGTTTTTTTGAAGTACCCAAAAGGATTCTAAGGAGGACAAGCCACATGTACAAATTTATGTGGGCATGTCCTACAATTCATTTAATTCTCCAGTATTGAACCTCAAACACCATAAGAATGTTTTCTATGGGTACATCTGCACGTAAGAAATGCACTTAAAAAAAAAAAAAGGTCTGGAAGGACACATGGTAACTGGCTAGCTCTGGGGGATCTGGAGAGAGACAGTATGGTTTAACAGGATCTCTGCAGATAGCTCTGCATCTGCCATTTATTAGACCACTTGGTTTCTCTGGATTGCTGTATTCTCATCTCTGTAAAATAATAATGGTAAAATACCTAATCCAGAGGTTGTCTGAAATTAAAGGGGATGTGTGAAATTGTCATACCTGCAATTAAACTGTTAACTCTTTCCCCCCTTTAGTTTCAAATCACTTTTCATCGTTGAAAACGACCATGAGAGTGTGTACTACATTATATATGTGTAATAATTTAAAAAATGGAAATTTCTATTTAATATCAATTCCTAAAATACTGTCCAAAAAAATGAAGTAAGTAAAAACAATTCCTGAGTCCCCAAACAGCCCTTACAGTCCCAGCGAGCTTACAACTACATACTCAGCATCGGACTTTTAAACATACATTTTGAAGAAGTTTGAGGTTATCCTTTTTCAGGGCACAGATTAGCAGACAACGAGGGGTAAGAGAGGACTATCAGAAGCAGATACGCCTGCTTGACAGCAGTGTTAGGTGACATCAAGCAGGAAGATCAAATGCTATCCAGGAAAAAAGAGGTTAAATGACATCCCCTAAATTGCATCTTGAAAGTTTGGGAAGCAGTACGTTTTAGAAGTATCGATTATCTGTTTAAAATATTCATGCGCGAGTTGTTTACACTATGGGAAAGGCGGCGAGTCCCTTAACATGCGGATGGAGACACTGCCACAGCCAAGCAGTGGCAGCAGGGGACGCCCGTTCATGTGTCAGTTTTAAAAACTGTCATCTCCCATGTATTCAAATTAAGAAAGAAGCCACTTTGGGAGCTAGGCTCTACATAAAAGAGGCTATCCTCAACCTCTCTTTCCCAACTATCTGTAAGTTACGAGGCCGCCTCGGCAGAAACCACTGCCCCTGGTTCCTACGAATCCTTTACAACAGCCATGACAAAAACTAAAAAAACAAAGCCCACAACCACGTTATGAAGAGATATCAAAACCCAGTCCTCAAGGCCAGTCATCATCACGTGTCCGGGCCTCAGGGAGACCCAAGCAACTGCAGGAGATGGCGCCCGCGCCTGAGGGCAAGGTACGGGAAGGAGGCCGGGCACCCCGCGGCCCCGCCAAGTCCCGCACGCCGTCCCCACGCCCAACAGAGGGGGAGGCCGGTGCCCACCCCACCTGGTGCGACTGGAAGAGGCGGCAGCTATAGCACCGCAGCACACGAAACCGCTGAGGCGCCGCCATTGCGGTTACCCTCGTCGCTGCGCATGCGCCCCGTTCTCCTGCCCGCCCGAACTACGTCCCCCGCACGCGTTCAGGGTCCACTAGACGCCTCCCCCAACCGCTTCGTCTCGCCTCACGTGCGCATGCGCTTTGCGCTTTGGTCGGCCCCAGCTCCGCCCTCACCAGGCTTTCGGGCCTCTCTAGCCTGCTGGGCTCGCTGGGAAGATTGAAGTTGCAAGGGCAAGTCCTCCAGCCGCTGCTCGGGGTCTGGCCATTGCCCTCACCATTCCCTCTGCTGCTTCTAGTCGCAGACTGGGAATGGGAGTTCCGCCCCGGCCCAACCCCTGGGACTCGTGGTTGGGGTTTGCGGGTCTTCTCGGCAGAGGCAGCCAGGTAACCTTTGAGCCTGAGCCCCAAGGACCGCGAAAACACGCAGTTCACCAGCCCCACGCTTACGGGAGAGGGAGAGAGGAGAGGCAGCTGTAAACGAAACCAGACCCTTCTGCAGCTCCCAAGAAAGCCCCGCTGTGATCCGCTTTGGAAGGTGGAGGAGAAGGGCCGAGTGACGCACCCCTTCTGTCCCAACCGCGCTGGGACCCTAACGCCAGCCCGGCAAGACGTTCCACATGTCGATAACATCTTATTAAAATTATAACACCCAGTCTTGACAAGGATGTAGTGAGAAAAACAGGATTCTGGTAGAAGAGTAAAATAAAAAAAACTTATGGAAAACGATCTGGCAGTTACCTCTACACTAAGAAAATAACTGACTCACCCAGATTTATTATTTATCATTAGTGTTCACTCTCGTATAACAGAAAAAAGTGGAAATGTGCTAAAGAATGGTTGCTTACGGTAACTCAGCAAGGACCATCATGCAGGTCCATTACAGAAAATCTGAGTTTGACATGAAATGCTGGCCAGTGTGTATCGATGGGAAGCAAAGAAGTTACAAGAGTACATAACTTCAGTTAGGTAAACCAGGTATTATTTATTTCCAGGGGTGGGGGCTTAAGGTTATATATGATTTAAAATTGTTTAAGAAATTGTTTAAATTATCCAACTTTTGCACAATAGCATATGTTAGAAAAAAACCAAATTTGCTTACAAATACTATGTTTGAGAGGCTGAATTTACAAAAGGACTGTGACCAGACCACATATTAACACCTCTTTAGCAAAACCCCCCCAACCTCTAAAACAAATCTACAACCTCTAGAGCAGACAGGACTTGGTCAATGACTGCCAGTTTCCCTATATTTTGCATTTTGCCTTTCATCTCTGGACCAACCTGAGGACAATTATGCTCCTCACAGCAACACAAAAGACTCTTTCTAGTTAGCCAGCTTCCCCCCTTCCCTGCCCACAGCCTCTAATCAGAGTACACCTGAAGCCTTTCTTTGTTTTCCCACTCCTCTACCTTTGAGTCTCTGCCAAGTGATGACGGCTGACTCCTTTTCTACAACAAACTGTAGATAAATAGTTCCTGTTCTCATTTGAGTGGTCTTTGTTTATTCCCACGTTTGAGTTATTGTGGCTGAGAACGGAAGGTATCTGAAAAGAATGTTTCATGTTCAATAAAAAGAATAAAAATTTCATATATGGTACGGGTTCAACTTTGAAAAAGAGAAAAAAACACAGGGCGCCTGGGTGGCTCAGTCAGTTGAGTGTCTGACTCTTGATTTTGGCTCAGGTCGTGATTTCACGGTTGGTGAGGTGGAGCCCTGCGTGGGCTTCAAGCTGACTGCTTGGGATTCTCTCTCTCTCTGCCCCTCTTCCACTCACACTCTCAGTCTCAAAATAAATAAACATTGAAAAACAAACACACAAAAATACTGAATAATCTTAAAACTAGGAAAAATTGTTTTTCTACTTTTCTGTATGTTTTCCTCCTGTAATAAATATGTAATCTTTAAAACTCATATATATTTTGGGGCGCCTTGGGTGGCTCAGTTAAGTGTCTGACTCTTGTTTTGGTTCAGGTCATGATCTCATGGTTTTTGAGATGGAGCTCTGTGTAGGGCTTTAAGCTATCTGCTTGGGATTCTCTCCTTGCTCTTTGCCCCTCCCCCTGCATACTCTCTCTCAAAAATAAACATTAAAAAAATTCATTTTCTTGGGAATTAAAAAAATGACTTGGATTGGTACATCACTTGGTAAGCCCTTAAAAACTACACAATTGTGTTTACTTACAGGATAAAAATATTTTTAAAGCTTTACTTGTATTCATATATTTTGTGTTAACTGTTCTGGTTGTTAAATATTTTGAATATCATCACAGGTTGAATAATAGACGAAAGTACTATTGTACATTTTTGTATATTCTTTTATCATAGGAAAGGCTAGATTCTTGTTTTATAGTCTTCTGTTTAATTTCTTTGGTATATTCTCACATTTAGACTTCTACATGATATAAAACATTTACCCAAATTTCATTTCATTTCAATCTAATTGATTACAATCAATTTAATACTTTAAACTGCCAACCTTGTGGGATTTTTATGTATATCTTTACCTAATTTCATTATGGCCAAGAACACGGTCTTTCTGGTATGAGCCCTTTGAAATTTCTTTATGGCAATGTGGCCTGTTTGTGTAAATAGTAGAAAGGATGGGGCGCCTGGGTGTCTCAGTCGGTTAAGTGTCCGACTTCGGCTCAGGTCACGATCTCGCAGTCCGTGAGTTCAAGCCCCGCGTCGGGCTCTGTGCTGACAGCTCAGAGCCTGGAGCCTGTTTCAGATTCTGTGTCTCCCTCTCTCTCTGACCCTCCCCCGTTCATGCTTTGTCTCTCTCTGTCTCAAAAATAAATAAATGTTAAAAAAAATTAAAAAAAAAAAGGAAATGACACTGATTAATGACATTTTCTTGTGAAGAAAGCAAACAATTATTCATTTTCCTTGATGTTTTGCTGCATTTATTGAGATGTGTGACCCGGCAGCTGTGAACAAGGTAAAATCACAGAGACTGTTATTTAAAATACCAGCCATAAAAGCTATAGATAGGAAGTAGATTAGTGGTTGCTTGGAGCTGGGGGTGGGGACAGGGATTGGCTGCACATGGGTAGGAGGGGTCTTTTTGGGCTGATGGAAATATTCTAAAATTGCATTGTGATGATAGTTCACAACTCTGTAAATTTACTAAAAATCATCGAACTAGAACTTGAAAACAAGTGAATTTTATGGTATGCAAATTATGCCTCAATAAAACTATTACAAAAAAACCAAAACAACCACGGAGAGCTGTTCCGTGTAGGGGAGGGCAGACGCTAGACACTGATGATCAGCTCTTGCTGCAAAGCCAGGAGATGCTCATGGCTCAGCCTGTCACCTGTGGCCCCACAACAGCTTCCTGAACCCAAGTGCTTGCTGCAGCCCAGGCCTGTGCACACACCTACACCCACAGGACTCAGGCTGCTTATACCTACAAAGCTCGGGGCTTACCCTGTTGGCCCAGGTCAGACACCTTCTGTGTCCCCAATCTCCCTGGGAGCCTTGAACCCCTATCCCTGTGGGGTCTAAGTGCCCAGAGCCTCTGGAACACGGCCTGGCCCCTCACCTGCCTGAGAAGAAGCCAGGAGCCCAAGCAGTAGCTGAGGCTACATGAAGGCTCTGTACACAGTATGGTATTGAGTTCTTTCAGGGATTTATTAAGGCATTGAGCACAGTGTGATTTCCAGCCAACTGAAATGAATACAAGGAAATATATCAGGACCTGAGGGATGTGCTTTTAAGGTTAATGGTGAGGCTGACGTACTGAAAGAGCATTCGGAGTGACGCCGGTGCAGCACTCGCCCTGGTGTGGTAGACACTTTCTGTCTGGGTCCCTCAGCAGGGGCTCGGGCTCAGGAGCTCCTAGAGAGTACCTTGAAGTTCCCACCACTTTGATGCCCAATAGACATGTGACCTCCTGCCTGGTGCCAAATGGCAGGAAAGCCCCCCCCCCGCCCCCCCCCACCGAATACACAGCTTTGGGAACCCCCACCCTCCCCAGGGGTGGAGGGCGTGGTGTGGCCTGGCCACAGCATGGGGCACAGAGGCTCTGGGCGAGCAGGCCAGGACGGACAGCCTCTGACACTACATGGGGACCAAGGCGGGTCCCACCAGGCAGGCAGGAAGAAGGGGCTGGGAGCCTCTGTCTGGGCCCAACTGTGGCTGTTCAGCCTTGTTTTCCCCTTGATTACAACTCACTGCATCTGGGGAGAACAGGAGGGGTGTGTCCTTAAGGAGAAAAGAGAACAGGAGGGAGGAGGAGGAGGGGAGGAGAGACAAGCCAGGTCCCCGTCAGCCCGAAAGTCCAGACTGTTCGAGGTCACTGGAGGTGCTGAACTGTCTCTCCACCTTCTTTTGGTCCTTGATCTTGAGTCCAATGTCCACCCTCTTCTCAAAGAAGTTCACCAGAACGGACTCCGTCAGGATGGAGGCTAAGATCTGCTCGAAGGAAATGCACCAGTCGGTGTCCACGGTGCCCCCACAGCGGGCAATGGCTGGGGGGCTTTGGGCCTCCCCGCCTACCAGCACCGTGTCGTCGGCCAGGTCCTCACACTGCAGGGAGCCTGTGCTGACCACCGAGTAGGAGGACATGGACATGTCGTCTTTGGTTTCGTCGTCGGACAGAAGCTGGGGGGGGGAGCCCCTCCCCTCGCCGCCGCCCCCTTCGCCCACCACTTGGCTCTCCTGGGGAGCTTTCCCAAGGTGGGTGTCTCCCCCGGCTTTGGCCTGGGGGTCGCCCGCAGCTGGAGGCTGAAGCTCTGGGGCCAGGTCCTGCGGGGGGTCTGGGGTGGGCAGCTCATCCTCCTCGGGTGCACCGTCCTGGGGCTTCCTGCCCGGCTGCACAGAAAACTTCTTCCCCACCTCGCCGATGCGGAGTAGGAGGCTCGCCACCGTGGCAATGGCATGGTACAAGTCCTGCTCCATGGGGTCCTCGCTGAACATGTTATAAAGCGTCTTGCACAGCTCAATGAACTGTTCCTTTTCAGGGGAGACAGAGAAAAAGGTCAGGGAAATGGTAAAGGATGGGCTGGGCTGGCCTCGGGTTAGCCAGACTGCCCATGCTGTGCTGTCTTGTTAGGTGTCTCCATACCTGTGCCTTGTCACGCCCATTTCACAGACTGGGACATTGAGACTCAGAGAGGGAAAGTGACTTGACCAGTATCACACAGCCTTCGAATAGCTTTCTTTTCTAGCTGCCTTTCTTTCAGCTCAGAGAGGGAGTGGGAGTCTTTCTCTGTCCCTACATCTACTCTGCTAGCAGAGACAGGTTGACTTTTATTGTGACTCCAAAGCCAGTGGCTTCAGGGACCTCTTCAGTGTGTTTTGGAGTCGCTTTGAGTTTTTTGTATCTTTGATCAAAGTAGAGGGTGGGGACAAGGCAAGTACAGCCTGGGTCAGTTGAGGGGGTAGGGAGGTCTGATTCCAGGTGGCTCACACCACACACTCAGGCCTCCTGCCTGAGAACGGGATAGTGCCTCTACTATCTCTACAGGGCACCCTATTCTTCAGGCTGCGGGTGAGAGAGTGCCCAGATCACAGGGTATGCCTCTGGGAAGAGCAGGGCTGTGGTCAGGCTGCCTTTTGTTAGATGTCTGTGGCCCTGGCAGTGAGACCCTTGGCAAGATGCCGAGTTCCCGACCCAGAGACCAGCAGAGGAACAGTGGGCCATGGGTGGAGCAGGCCTGCGTGTGCATGGCACCTGTGAGGGGCCTGGGACAAGCAGGGGTGCCATGAGGCTGTCTCGTAGTCGGGATTGTGTGAGTCTCTGCGTGTCAGAGGCTAACCTTCCTTACTGCTTTTCTGGTACACGGATACTGATCAAATGTGAGCAAATCATCACCAGGAAACACCACCCAGGACAAGGCCCTGAAACAACTGGCCTCTTATCCTTCTGGAATTGTCCCTGACTGCTGTCTGACTAGCAGGTGCTGGACGTTGGCAGGAGAATTTCCACCCTACAGAGATTGCCGGGAGGGAGGGTGGGGAGCTGCCAGGTGTGTGTGGGGAGGCAGCCCTGGAAATGTCTGTTGTGGGCTCTGAATGGGCCTACCTGGTTCATCTTGGGAAGATCCTTAATCGTCTCCTTCTGAACCTCCTTCTCTTTGGCCCACATGCGAAGGTAGTGGCGATAGTCTGGAGGACTGATCCCCTTCTCTTCTGCGAGTTGGAAGAAAATAAATCTGTCAAATTCGAGAAACAGCTGGGGGCTGGTAGCAGGTAGTGGGTGGGTTTTGGCGTCATCTGGCATAGGGTTATCTGGGCCCTTTTACCAACCCCCCTGGTACTTGGGGAGGTAGGGATAGGAAGAACACTCCAGAACACCCAAGTGTCTCCCCTAAGTTATTCTGCTACATTAGGTTTGGCCTGAGCTGAAGAGGGCCTCCACCTGTCTTCCCTGAGATGGGGACAGAAGCCCGTGGAAGCAGAAGGGGGAGAGATGCTGGGCATCTAGAGGGATCCTGATAGAAAGCAGGCACCCCAGAGGAAGGTGGTGACAGCAGGGGAGGGGGAGGGGTATTCACAGCTACAAGACAGGCCTGGGGCTGACGAGAATAGCCTCCCCTGGCACCTAATGGGCCAAGTATTCACCTTTCCACAGGAAGGGCTGCGGTGCTGGGCATGAGTTTGCCGTTTCCCCGGGTGGGGGCCTCTCTTGCAGGGAGGGCCCCCCAGATCCCACTGACCCTGGGATCTGCACCAGTACTGGCGAAGACTGGCTAGCACATACCTCCTTTTTTGTCTTGGACGTCCTCATTTCCACCTCCCTCTTGCTCTTCCTGCCGTAGTGCTTCTGGACAACCAGAAAAGAAAAAGTACGCAGAGAATGTTTTGCAGTTATGACTGTGGACCACGGCGGCCTGTGAGTAGTCTGGTCTGTTCTCCTGCAGAACCAAAGCACCTCCAAACCCTCCTTCCTCTCTACGAAAGGAATACAGGTCTATGCACAAAGTGTTTAAGTGAACAATGATGCACGTTACGGAGTTAAAGCCCGAGAATTAATTTCTGTAGTTACTGTTGAAAAAGGTCAAACGGAGGGCAGTCCTGATTATCAGTTCAACCCATGACCAACTGCCACACTGGCTGATGAGGAATTTTATGGACATGAGTTCTGTACCTGGCGCTGTATTTCTTTCTTTCTTTTTCCTTCTTTTTCTTTTTTTCTCTTTCTTTCTAATATTTATTTATTTTTGATACAGTGCAAGTGGGGGAGGGGCGGAGAGTGTGGGACAGAGGATCCAAAGTGGGCTCTGCCCTTACAGGCTGACAGCAGCCAGCCCAATGATGCAAGGCTCGAACTCACGAACCGCAAGATCATGACCTGAGCTGAAGTCGGATGCTCAACTGACTGAGCCACACAGGTGCCCCTTGCGCTGTATTTCTTAAAGTGACACATTTGCTGGAGTCAGCCTGCACTGTGCTTCCTATGGGGACCATGAATGTGGGGAGTCTCCCAGACCTGAGGGCAGCACGGCCGCCGGGGACCTACTGGTGGGCGGCAGCATCCCAGTGCTGTGTGGTTGGGGGGAAGGGTGCACCTCTCTGGGCTCAGGCTTCTCACTGCGGAATGGAGACCCACTGCCTGGGGCTGTGTGCAGTCTGAGAACAGGGCTCTGAACCCTCAGTCCCTGGCCTTAATTGGAAGCACCTGGGAAAAGCCTAAAGTGCCCCTGATTTTTCAGATTCTAACAGAAGACACATCTGCTTATTTAGTCTGTGTATTTGAAATTCAGGTTCTCAAGCTTCATTTCAAGTTCAAATTAAGCCTTTTGACACCGCCAGCAGGACTGCCTTGGGCATCTTGATACCCACTGTTTTTAATTTCTCTTAGGTGTGGATTGTCTCCCATGGGAACTTATAGGATGGGGTTTTGGTCGATTTTGTACATCCGTTATGTACCACCAGCCTCACTGCCAAATCCCAAGCCCAGAATGCCCCCTTCACCCTGGATCTGATGCTCCAGAATGGGCTCTAACTGTAGCAACAGGAATGACTTCAAAAAGGCACTCAACAAATGTATGTCTCCTTAATGAAAAAGTTGTGTAGAGCAAGAGAACGTTTTCCAGGGAAAGCGTCCACCACCCTCTACCTCTGCTGATCCGTTTCACACTGTTGTGATGATGGCATCTATACTTTTTCCTATGAATGTGATGATGGAATGAATACTGTCTGCACGTGGCTGTGGAGCTGATGCTCTGGTGTCTGTGCATTGCCCACTGTGCTGTGTGTCATCATTTACTACTCCCCTCGACAAGCATGGAGACTGCCCCTCAACTCCCCCGGTAAGCAGCAGCTTCGTTCTGGGTCCTCCTCAGCGGGACCAAACGTGTCCAGGCCTCCTGACCATGCAGCAGAGTGTTAGGAAGACACAGCCCAGCACAAAGCAGGTGCCCCTGACCCCCCCAGGGACTGACCTTGAGCCTCCCAGGGCAGGAAAATGTCCAGATCTGAGGCCAGAGGAGATGCTGGAAGGGACAGCGGAGGAGAGGTGGAGGAGAGAGGGAGGAATAGGCCAAGGTCCAGGAAGGCAGAGACAAGAGAAACAGGAGTGAGAACACCCCCGGGGACCTGCCCAACACAGGGCGCTCCCCGAGCCCACTGAGGGCTGCAGGCCGCCTGTGTGGGCCCCACAGCAAGGCTGCACAGCTACGAGGCCCAAGGCCACAGCACGGGGCCAGCAGCTCTCACCTTCTGAGGAGCTGTCCTCTGTGAAGTAATGGGTCGCTTCCAGGGCTGACTCTGCCTCCTCTGGGCTCAGGGCTGCACTCAAAGAGAGAGGCAAGTGAGGGCAGGAGAAAACAATGGCACTCACCAAAGCAAACCTCCCAAGTCCTGGAAGGAGGCCTCGCTCCCCGCAGGGCACCAGGTGCCCATGATGTGGGGTGTGGTCGTAGCGCTAATGGCGACCACTGATCACGGTTGTTGTTCCTTTCTTGACTTGTATGTTGTGTTTGAAAATGTCACACGTATCCCATCTAAAAACCCCAGCAGTGCAGCTGGGAGTCTGGAGAAAGGCCAACCCTCTTCCTGCCCTGATGGTGCGGTGCTGAGGATCCTTCAGACACAAGTGCAAGGACCAGCCACGCATGAGCGACTTGCTCTTCCCTCTGATGCACCTCAGGCTTCGTTCCATGTCAGCATCGTTCCACGTCAGCATCTACTACTTTGTGAGTAAGCAGTCCCCTGGGTTTCCGATTCACATGGTTCTTGGGGGAGGAGTCTCATCCTCCCCACTGTATGGACGGGGATGTGATGATGGGGGGTTGAAAAGGTGGCACTTGGGGGAGGTGGCAGGGTGTGGACCGAGGTCCACAGGAACTCTGGACGCAGCAGGGCAGGCAGAGGTGGCTCAGGAGTTGGCGAAGGTGGCCCCATGTGCTACCTGTAGGATCCCGGCCCCGTGGGGTCTGCCCAGCCCAGGCCTTTCCCTCAGTAGAGGCAGAGCTGGCTGCTATCAACCTTCCCGGAGGCATCCCTGAGGCCACTGTTCTTTGAATTACAGGGAAAACCAGCCACAGGTGAGAATACCTGTGTCAAGAGCAGGGCCTTCCAGCTCTGGCTGCTCAGAACACCCCCGCCCCTGCCGGTTGACGGGGGAGAGATTTAAACCCGCATTCTGGGCCAATTAAGTGACAGCCTCTAGGATGAGCACAGCACAGTGTTCTAAAAACCATTCGGCCTACTCGGAGGCAGCCGCAGACTCCCCAGGGCGGGTAATGAACAACAGCAGGGGCCCAAGGTAGCTCTACCCCAGGGTAGAGGGCCCAGGGCTAGAATTCTCACCTGCCCAAGTCTCAATTTCCCCATCTTGGAGAACTCTCCATGTGGCTACCTTTGCTGAGCTGGGTGAGCTCTACCTGCACAGTGGGAACCCAGAGACCATGGGATCCGGCCTGGCTTAGGACTGGCTGCTGGGCACCCTTCATCCCATCCCAGCCTGTCAGCATCTCCGGCAGGCTCAGGCCCGGGAGCCAAGGGAGAGCAGCTCCTGCTCGTGGCTGCACAGCAGGGCTACCCAGGCCATTCTGAGGGCCTTGGCAGTGCCCCTGGCTGACCCTCAGGGGACAGACAGGAGCTTCCCTGTGTCTTACCTGGGTCCTTGCCCATGGTCTGAGTCCTCTGAGACAGTCCCTCTCAGGTTTTGGCCCTACCCCAGTGCTCCGGCCTCCTCCTCCCACTCTGTCAGGATGTGGAACCTCTATGATGCCTAGGCCCCCTAGGCCCAGCACCGCACAGAGGCCTGTGCCCTGGGACACTGCAGCCCCAACCCTGTATGCATGAGAGGCCCTCACTGGTGACTCTCACCTGGGGGCAGGTGCAGCTTGTAGAGTGCCTTGAGCTTCTCGGTCAGGTCCCCATGGTACATCCCGCCTGCAGAGGAAGGCCAGTGAGGAGGCATGCTGGCTACAGGGCACCAAAGCCCCACGGCCAGTCCACACTGGAGCACCTCCCCTTCCAGTGGGTTCTGGTGTGTCCCTCCTCATACCCTGACTCCCTCCTGGAGAGGTCCCTGGAGCAAGCCCCAGGTCTCCCACTGTCCCTGGGCTTTCCCCTTCTCAGGCTCTGTGGACCCACCCTGTGCAGCCCTGGCCTGAGGGAGGGGTGGAGGAGACGACCCCACTAGACCCCTACGTGTTCCCCGTGGGAAAACTGCCCTTTCTATATCAAGGATCTTGCTGCAATGGGAAGACTGGCTGGGCTGGCATTTGGAGGCTTCTTGAGGAAGGGCCCTGGAGCTACTCACTCATTCCTGTCACAAACTCCTTGAAGTTGATCAGAGAGTCCTTGTTTTCATCCAGGAGCCGGAACATGCGCCCCGCCAGTACAGGCGTGTGGGAGCTGCAGGCCCAGGGTGTCAGGCTGGCGAAGAGTTCCCGGAACTGGCCTGCATCGATACGGTACTGTTCCAGGTACGGCAGGCTGGGGTCCCGACGCACAGCCGTGGGGCGGCTGCCCCCCCAGTACTGACTTGCCAGGTGCTTGGCCTGTGGAGGGCACGGCCTGGTGAGATGGCCTGGCCTCCCAGAGCCTGGGCGGTTAGGACCGCCAGGCTGGCCAGCGAGTCCACCCTCCTCTTCTGTCTGAGTCTGAAGGGCACTGGGGTGGGGAGCACTAGGCCACACATGGCAGGGAACCTCCCACATTGGTACCACCAGCCTCTTGTTCACACATGCAGGAACTGAGACATAGCGGGTGAGAGGTAGCACTGACTGGGCCGTTCTGACTGGAAGGCTCATCACAGTGGCCACCCTGGCTGGCAAACCAGAGGCAGATGGGAACCAATAACAAGAAGTGTGGACTGTGTTGTTTCTGCCTGCTCATCACAACTTTTCCCCTTCTGGTAACAGCACCTGAAATCTTTTTGGAGACTGCCTCCTGTCCCATCCTCAGGGCGTGGGACAGGCACATGGCCTAGTTAGTTTTGGTTCAATAGTAATAACCCTCCTATAGCCACAGCACCTAACTTGAGTCCAACAATTCACTCTGGACTTTTTGCTAAAACTACTTGGAAAGAAAAAGCTTTTTCCCTTGAGAGAACAGGATGACCCTGGAGCTTCTGAGGACAGTCCTGCCATTCTTAAACCTGCCTGCATGTTTAAGCACCTGGATCCAGCCATGCCTGAAGCTGTGAATTTCCCAGACTTTCCAGTAACATGAGCCAATGCTTTCCCTCTTGTGTAAGCTGACTAGAGTGGGCTTTCTGCCACTTTAAGAAAGCGTCCTGCCTAAACTCCATGGAGAATTAAATTCTACCATGTGAGGTTTGTGGTAACTGCATCTGAGGACATTTTTAAATCGATGTCTCTTCTGGCAGGAGGTTGCTGCACTGAGGACACATTTAGGGGACTGGGATGGGGTACTGGTTCTGCCCTTGCTCTAGGCTGTCACCTTAAACACCATGTAAAGGTCCTCCAGCTCTTCAATTGAGAAACCAATGTCCCCAGGTATAGCTCGGACCTAGAAGGAAAGAGAAACAGGATGTACTGATGGATTCTCAAATTCTAGCTCTTTGACAGAATTCCCATGTGGATGAAGGTTAAGACACAGACCACCCTCTTAATGTTGCCAGCTGGCCAAGCACACAATGGCAGCCCATTCAGGAAAGAAGGTGTGGACCACACGAGTATCCCTGGTCACCTATCCTGTTATTCAGTCTACGCTTTCCAAGCTCCGTGCTGAGCATGGTGGCGGGAGGGAGGCCTGTCTGTCCTGATGCCCAGTCAGGTACACAGGGTGAGGGGCAGTCATTTAGTGACTGCTATCTGAATCTCTGGAAAGACTCTGGCCCTGGCTTTTTGGCAGGCGTCCTAGAACCTGCCAGTAAATTCTCTCACCAGAGCTGGGGAGGACAAAGGCTTGTAGGGGAGGCACAGGGGGCTGGGTGGGTGGAGGGCGGCTGAGTGTTGCTACCCAGGGGCAGGTGCAAGCCCAGGCTGGAGGGCTCAGCCCACAGTAGGATGACACTTGGCCTTTAGGCTCTGAGGTGTCAGAGCTTTGCAGTGATCAACCTGGGAGCAGAACACCGTGACCACAGAACAGTGACCAGTCCTCTCCCACCTCCCCAGATCTGCACCTTCACTCCTGGAATCCAGACTCATACAGGGCAGCACTAGGGGGCTCTGCACCTGGCCCTGTGGGCAGGTGAGGAGACAGCAGGGCAGGAGCAGCCCACCTAGATCACTGCCCCCACCCCTGCCAGCAACCTGTGGCCACTGGAGCCCAGTCGATCCGTACCACGCTCCTCTTGGCCGTATCCTCCAGGGACTGGATCACTTTCAGCCTCTGCTTAAACCGCATCTGTTCAATGTCGTCGGCCCTCAGGCTGCTGAATTTCTACCGGCCAAAGGTGATTTGGTGAGACGAGGCAGAACCACAGAGCAGAGAACTGCCACCAGCCACGGCCGCCCACACCCACATGCCCGGGTAGGGCAGGCTGGCCAGACAGCCCTGGAGGGTGCTGACCTCATATGACACCTTCAGGAGGTCGAAGATGTCCACCTCTGTGGGAGGGTCATCTCCACTAGTCAGCAGGGCGTGGAGGTGTGGGATAGGAGGAGAAACACTCTGCTTATTAACCACATTATCCAGGTATCTGTAAGGATTAAAGAACAGAAGGTTGGACCACCCATAGGCAACAGGGATGTCTTACCTACTAAGTGATGTGGAGGGACCTAATTTGCCTAGACTCCCAATTAATAAACAAGTGTGCTGAGGAGGGGGCAGCCTCCAGGAGGGCAAGAGATGAGCCAATGACTCTGCAGCAGGGGAGGGGAGAGCCATGTCCCAGAGGATGTCCTGGCAAATCCAGGATCCCCCTGGAGGCGGCAGAGAGGCCTCGCCTCTCGCCTCTCGTGGGGCCTGAGCACTAATTCTGGGAAGCCAGGCTGTCTTCTGGGGGTCCCCTGCATGGGGGCCCTTTTTAAGCCCAGATCCTAGCACACTAGGAGAAAGGTTTGTCCCAGATGGAGGGATGACATCTTCCTGGGCTGGCTCAGTGGGCAGGTGGCAGCGTCCTTGGCAGGCCTGGGTGGCCAGGAGTGTTCCAGGATGGACACAGACACATGGCCAGCATGTG